CGCCGGCGCCCTCCACCTGTGCCGCGGCCGCGTGGCCGCCCTCACTTCGTCCAGGAGAGGTGAGGGCCGCACGGCCGGGGTGGGGGGAGCAGGGGGCTCGCCTCGCCGGGCAGGGGGCGGGGCCAGCCTGGGCTTTGACCTTCCGGGCTGGGTGGGTGGGGGAGGCTCGGCGACCCAGAGGTCGGGTCAGCCTTGGTCGCCGGGCTCCTCTGGGGCGTGGGACGAAGGTCTGTCTGCCTCCGCCCTGGTGACCCGGAGTCCTGGGCACAAGTGTGTGGAGCGCAGTTGGCCGGGATGCCGGGAGGGCGGTGCGCACTGGGCAGGGCGCTGGTGCTCGCCGGGGTGTGGAGCCGCTGGGCGGGCGCCGGTGACGCGTCCCTCGTGTCGCCGCTCGGGTGCGGGCGGCTGCGGGGGGAGGGTTGCGAGATTGAGGAGCGAAGCTCTAGGAACTGCAATTTCACTTCCGACTCTAGTGGCTTTATTAACTCATTGAACACTAGTTGCATGTTCTGTGCTTGGCTGGCGCTTTTCTGGGTACTTGGCATATATCAGTTAGCAAAATCTCGGACCTACACTGTAGCAGAGGAGACGATGTAGGTAGGTAGCTATAATTTATATATACACGTATGATTTACATATAATCTGTGTACGGAAGTGATAAATACCGTAGGAAAAATATGGAGGTGATAAGGGTTAGGAAGTGAGGCCTCCAGCAATGAATTTAAATGGGGTTAGCAGAATAGTTTATACTGAGAAGGTGGCATTTGAAGGAGGTGAGAGCGGTCACTGCCCTGCATAAAGATTAGGGAAGTCTGAAACAGTCTCAATTTATTAGATAGCACATTGTTGATGAAAATATCATTTGGGGTAATCTTTATCAGCAAAGGGCAAAAATATCACTTTGGGTGGTCTCATATCAATAGCTGTCAGTAACCACACTGATGGCTTTTTTTTTTTTTTCATGTTTTTCTTAATAGAAATGCCCAGTAGACATTGACTGTTTCTAAAATATAAAAATACCCTAGGCTGGGGAAGAAACTGATTGGGAGAGCAAAAAAGTGAAGGAAGGAAGCTTTACATACAAAGGGTGGGGAGTGAGTGGTGAACTTTGTCAGTGTTCCGCAGTAATTATGAGTTAGAGATGACTTTGGTCTTTATTTCAGTTCTTTTGTCTTTTGTTGTTCTTTTTTTTTTTTTTGACAAGCTGGTGATTAGTGATTTATTTTCATCTCCTCATTCAAGACTATGGGGCAAAAGGGAAGAGTATTCTTTCTCATGAGTTTTTTGATTTTATCAGGAAGGTGGTACTATTGGATTAGGCTCATAGGATCTCATTCTTCACAGAGTGAGGACGGATGCATAAATATGGGGAAACAGCCAAGACACAGTTAAGGAGCAACCATCAGCCAAAGAGTTTTGTTCCTTTACTTCCAGCCTAGTGATTTGTTTGGTGCCAGGGTTCTCAGTAGGGCTACTGAGACTTAAGGATGTTATGAATAGCAAGTTTGTACTTGGTTTCCTCCGTTCAAGGCTAACTTTGGGCTTCTTTTGTGTGTGTGTTTCAATATCCTTTTGATATCCTGAAGGTCCTTCCAAAGGAGAATTACGCATTGCACTTTAACATAGCTCAGTTTACTTGCTTCCTGGTTATTAGTGGGAATTCCTAGTTCTTGGGCCTCACTTTGTTGTCACAATAAAGGAGGAAAAATGAGTCAGAGGCATGCTCCTCCTCAGGCTTCGCCCTTTGACAGAAGGCAAGATGGCATTCAGCTTCCATCGGCAGGGGTTGGCCGGCCAAGTGAGAAGTGGCCAGGGCTTTTCTCCACTTTTCAGATGACAGTACATATTTTGTTGAAGTAAGCTTGCAGTTGAACTGAATTCCAGTTGTTTTGGACAAGAAAAGAATCTGCAGCATCTAAATTGGAATTAGCTCTTGTTTAGAAAACAGTCATGATAGTTTATTTTGGGGATGTATATGTTGTGTGTGTGTGTGAGAGAGAGAGATATGTTTTAAATCACACAAATGATTAATTTGTTCTTAGAAACAAATTTGGTACTAGAAAAATCCCATCACTCTTCACCAGCCAGTTCTAGACTCAAATATTTTCAAGCTCTCTGATCCATGGGACAGTTAAGCACAGTTTAAAAAGATGGGTGGGTTAGCCTTTAGAGAGCCACTTGAGAGATTCGTTCATTCATTCATTCACCACCACTGTTTCTCAAGCTAGGTCTGTTCTGTGATCAGGCAGACATTTGGAGTCTCTTCACCTGGAGGCCAGTTTTGTCTCAGTACTGGGGATAAAGAATGAAAAAAGAGGGGCTAGATTTAACTGAGCTAATTTATGTAAAAAGGGAAGATCATAGGTGAAGAGGTGGATTTCAGATTTTCTTTCTAGACCATCTCATGATCCAGATCACAGAGTTCTCTTAACAAAATTATTTCTGGTCTGCAGTCTGCCAGGCCCTCTGCTAGATGCTAACAATGTAAAAATGACTAAGACTGACTGCTCTTGGGATGTTTGGACTAGTAGATGATGCAGATGTGGAAACAATATGGTAAGTGGTGTGATAGAGCTATCTGAGCTGTGCTGCGAACACAGATAAGGAGCAATCAAGGCGGCCCTCTGACCTGGGTGGAACTAGCAGACCGAACCACTCAGTATAGCATAATGCCCTGCCTGGAACATAATGTTTGCTTAGCACATTGTAAAATTAAATGAAGAGGGGTAAAATGATGCTTAAAATTAGCCAGTCGAAAAAGGGGGGCAAGCCAGACTTAAGGATGGAGTACCAAGATATACAGGTACAGGACACAGAATAACTTAGGTGGCTGGAAAGAAAGCTGAAAGGGTAGGTATGGGCTAAATTAGGACAGGCTTTGTATTTGTGTGCCTTGCCAAGGACCTGATACTGTAGGCTAGTGGTTCTCTGAATATAAGGGCCTTTTTTTTTTTTTTTCTAATAAACCATTTAACTCACACATACATGTTACAGTTACTGCATTTTATATTTTGTCAGTCTGCAAACAGCGCTTGGTACAAAATGATTGGATTTCTTATACTTACCTTGACACTGACTGTGACCTTCTTTCCAAGGTGGGAACCACTGCTGTAGGCTTATAGACAAACATCAGATCTGTAGGGTTCTGTCCATGTCACGTTTTTTGCTTACATGCAATTTCCTTTAGAGTGTTTAGAGGTGAAGGATTGACAATAGGAGCTGATTAGCTGAAGTATCTTTCTTGTCACTTAGGGGATTTACCTTAGGGGATTTTCAAACTTTGAGTTAGTAGTGACTATTTTTTCTTCTACCACTCTTCTACAAACCTGGCATCATAGAAAAGTAAGGACAGGGCGCCTGGGTGGCTCAGTTGGTTAAGAGACTGCCTTCGGCTCAGGTCATGATCCTGGAGTCCCGGGATCGAGTCCCGCATCGGGCTCCCTGCTTGGCGGGGAGCCTGCTTCTCCCTCTGACCCTCCCCCCTCTCATGTGCTCTCTGTCTCTGTCATTCTCTGTCTCAAATAAATAAATAAAATCTTTAAAAAAAAAAAAAAAGGAAAGAAAAGTAAGGACAAATATGTAGCAAAATTTTCATATAGCTGTGTTTAATACATTTAAATGAAAGTTTTTTATTTTATATTGTCCATCTCTTTTTTTTCTTCTGCTGTCCAAATGTCTTTTACAGTATGATTGTAATAGTAAGGAGCTATTGTGTTTAAACGTCCTTTCTGGACAGAATTACTAGTTGGCATTGCAGTTGTTACATATTTTTTTTAAACTGTTTTTATGGTTCATGAAATACAAAAGCCAGAGAACCCTTACCATGCTACCTTCTTCAAATGAGCACCTTGAAACAAGTTTACAAAATGAGTTGGATCTGTGGCTAAATGCACAGAAATTCAGAGGAAAGGTTAACATACAAATTGTTAGAACACATCTCTAAAGATAGGCTTTTGTAGAGACATCACAAAGAAAACTATTGACCAGTACCTCTTATGAATAGAGACAAAAATCCTCAACAAAATACTCAGCAAATCAAATCCAGCAATATGTAAAAAAGGAGTATACATCATGACCAAAGGGGATTCTATCCCAGGAACAACAGGCTCATTTAACATCTGAAAATCAATTCCTGTACCACACCATATTAAAAAAAAAAAAAGAAACTATGTGATCATCTCAAAAGACAAAGAAAAGGAATTTGGCAAAATTCAGCACCCCTTCATGATAAAAAGCACTTGACAAATTAGGAATAGAAGGGAACTGCCTCACTGATAGAGGACATCTGTGAAACACCCACAGCTAACATCATACTTAATAGTGAAGGATGCATGCTTTCCCTCAAAAGGTCAGGACTTGCAAGGATGTCTGCCATCACCAGCCATGCAACATTGTACTAGAAGTTCTAACCAGGGCAAGACGATGAAAAGGAGGAAGTAAAACTATCACTGTTCACAGGTGACATGACCCTGTACATAGAAAACTCTAAGGAATTCACTAAAAAACCATTAGAGCTAATTAACAAGTTCAGGAAGATTGCAGGGTACAAGATCAACATAAAAAATATAACAAAAAATACAAAAATCAGTTGCATTACTATACACTAGAATGAACAATCTAAAAAACAATTCCCTTTACAGTAGCATTGAAAAGAATAAAGTACTTAGGGATAAATTTAACAAAAAACTCACAGAACTTATATGATTAACCACCCTTGAACAACACAGGGCTGAGGAGTGCCAACTCCTACACAGTTGAAAATCTGTGTATAACTTTTGACTTCCCCAAAATTTAACTACTAATAGCTTACTGTTGGCCAGAAACTTTACCATAACAGTCAGTCACTTAACACATATTTTATATATTATATGCGTTATATTCTGTATTCTTAGAATAATGGAAGCTAGAGAAAAGAAAACATTATTAAGAAAATCATAAAGAAGAGGAAATACCATACTGTAAAAAATCCGTGTATAAGTGGACCCATGTGGTCTAAACCTGTGTTCAAGGGTCAGCTATAGTGTGAAGCCTATATAACATTATTAAAGGAATTAAAGACCTAAATAAATGGAAAGACATCCTATGTTCATGGATTGGAAGACTTTGTGCTCTACCCAAATTGATCTATAGATTTAAAACAATCTCAAAGTTTCAGGTGGCTTCTCGGTAGAAATTAATAAGCTGATCCTAAAATACATACGGAAATGCAAGGGACTCAGAATGGCCAATGCAATCTTGAAAAGGAATAAAACTAGAAGACTCCTTTCCTGATATAAAAACTTACAACAGAGCTAAAAGTAATCAAGAAAATGTGTCACTGGCATAAAGACAGATATAAATCAGTGGCATAGAATGGAGAACCCAGAGATGATTTACAGTCAGCTGATTCTTGACAAATTCCAAGATAATGCTGAAACAACTGGATATCCACACGCAAAAGAAGGCGAACCCTCATCTCACACTACATAAAAGTTAACTCAAATGGATCAGAGACCTAAAAGTAAGAGCTGAAACTGTAAAACTCTTAAAAAAAAAAAAAACAATTGGTGTAAATCTTTGTGTCCTGGAATTAGCCAGTAGTTTCTTAGATATGACACCAAAAGCACAAGGAACAAAAATAAATAAATTGGACTTCGTTAAAGTTAAAAACTATTGTGCTTTGAAAGGCACCATCAAGAAAGTGAAAGCCAGCCCACAGAATGGGAGAGAATATTTGCAAATTACTTATACGATAAGGAACTTGTATCTAAAATGTATAAAGAAGGGCATCTGGGTGGCTCAGTCTGTTAAGTGTCTGCCTTCTGCTCAGGTCATGATCCTGGAGTTCCAGGATCAAGTCCCGCATCGGGCTCCCCGCTCAACAAGGAGTCTGCTTCTTCCTCTGAGCCTCCCCCTTCTCGTGCTTCCTTTTCTCACGCTCTCTTGCTCTCTCAACTGAATAAAACCTTTAAAAAATAAAAATAAAATAAAATATTTAAAGAATTCTTTTTTTAAATTTTTATTTATTTATGTGAGAGAGAGAGAGAGTGAGCAAGCAAGTGAGAGAGAGAAAAAGCACCAGCCAGGGGAGGGGCAGAGAAGCAGACTCCCCGATGAGCAGGAATCCTGACCCAGGACTCTGGGATCATGACCTGAGCCTAAGGCAGACACTCAAGCGACTGAGCCACCCAGGCGACCCTAAAATGTATAAAGAATTCTTAACAACCAACTCAATAATAAAAAGATAACCCAATTTTTTAAAAGATTTATTTATTTGTTAGAGCATGAGCAGGAAGAGCAGAGGGAGAGAGAATCTTAAACGGACTCTGCCCTGAGCTTGGAGCCTGATGCGGGGCTCAATTTTACAGCCCTGAGATCACTACCTGCGCTGAAACCAAGAGTTGGACACTTAACCAACTGTGCCACCCAGGCACCCCAAAAGATAACCCAATTTTTTTAAATGGGCAAAGGGTCTGAATAGATGTTTCTCCAAAGATACACAAATGGCCAATAAGCAGTGAAAAGATGCTCAACATCATTAGGCATCAAGGAAGTACAAATCAAAACTGCAATGTGCTATCCCTATGTTTATTGCAGCATTATTTACAATAGCCAAATTATGGAAGCAGCCCAAGTGTCCATCGATAGATGAATGGATAAAGAACAGGTGATATATATATATACACACCACACACTATTCAGCGATAAAAAAGAATGAAATCTTGCTATTTGCAATGATGTGGTAGAGCTGGAAAGTATTATGCTAAGCAAAATAAGTCAGAGAAAGACAAATACCATATGATTTCACTCATATGGGATTTAAGAAACACCTGAACAAAGGGAAAAAATGAGAGACAAGCCAAGAAACACTCTTAATTATAGAGAACAAATAAGTAAATACCATAGTTGAAGAGATATCTAAAAAATAATAATTAAATTGCAATGGGATACCACTTTATACCCATTATGATGGTTATAATAAAAAAGACAGTAACAAGTGTTGATAATGTAGAGAAATTGGAACCCTCAGACACTGCTGTTGGGAATGAAAAATGTGTAGCCACTTTGGAAAGTAGTCTGGCATAACCTTATAAACACAGAGTCACTGTATGATGCAACAATTCAGTTCCTGGGTATATACCCAAGAGAACTGAAAACTTGTTCACACAGAATCTTGTACACAAATGTTCCCAGCAGCATTGTTCATAGCAGCCAAGAAGTGGAAACAACTCAGATGTCCTTCAGCTGATCACTAGGTAAGAAAATCGGTATATTCCTAAAACAGATTTCAGCAATAAAAAGCTATAAAGTACACAATTATAAGGTGGATGAACCTTGAAAACCTCACCTAAGTGAAAAAAACCAGTCACACAATACCACATCCCTTACGATTCTATTCATAAGTAATGCACAGAGTAGGCAAATCCATAAAGACAAAGTGGATAAGGGGTTGCCTGGGGTTGAGGGAGTAGGGAGATTGGGGCATGATAGCTAAAGGGTATAGGGTTTCTTTTTGGGATGATGAAAATGTTCTAGAGTTGACTGTGCAGAAGATTGCAGAACTCTATAGTTAAAATCAAATTGAACACTTAAATGGGTGAAGAAATGGGTGAATTGTATGGTATGTGAATTTCATGTCATAAAGCCCCAACCAGGTGGGCTTTTGAGGTATGCCATATTCCTTCATAGCTTTTCTTTACCATCAGATCCTGTTTTGAGCCTAATTGTCCTTTACGTTCTAGAGCTGAGCCTCTCTGCTGGGAGCCTGCAGCTGGAGCACAGCAGAGATCTGGACCACAAAAGGAGAGATTTCACCTCTTGCGGGAACAAGAAGCTCTACTTTGACACCCATGCCTTAGTGTGTTTACTGGAAGAAAATGGTAATCCTTTTGTGGGTCACTCGGAAAAACACTTAGTTCTTGTGATCTTATCTAACTTCTATTTCTCTTTGGCGTTTAAGTCTACAGATACACTCTTTTGGTCAATCTCTGTTTTTTTAAGTTCTTATTTTTTGTTTAAGGACAATTTTGCTTCCGCCAGTACAGTTGAGAGACTTTTTGCACACATTTTTCTTTGTCGGTGAGAAGTGTATTTTTATAACATCCCTCTGGAGGTAGAGTGTTACAGATAAAAATTTAGACACAAGTTAGCAAAACTCAGGAATGGTTCCTATGACAGCTGCCTGACGCACAAAGTGATAGTTTTGTTACTGTGCATGTTGTGTGCTTTTAAAATTGTTATGAAATGAAAATGTTGCTGAGCAGCAATTGCTAATAATTTCAGCTTGTGGTTTTTTTTAATAGTCCAACTAATATTTTTCCTTATTGCTGTTAATTAATGTAAAAGATGCTCTAACAGACATGACATTTATTGAAAGTGCATTCAGTACATAGGTAACATTCTCACTGAATCTTCTCTAGACAGATAGGCCAATTCTAGTTTTCCGTTTTGTTGCTCTTGACAACACGATAGATCTTTCCCCAGCTGTACGTGTTCGTATCTGCAGAGCCACCCTCTGTAGCTGTGCTTCGCTTGCCCAGGACAAGCAGATGGAGTGAGCTCTGTGCTTGCACTGGGGAGTTAGAAGCTCTGCGTCAAGCTCTGCCAGGACCCAGCTGCAAAGCCAGGCAGTTCTCTCGTCTTTCCCAGTTTCTTTTTTCTTTTTTTTTTTAGATTTTATTTATTTATTTGAGACAGAGAGCGCACAAGCAGGGGGCAGGGGTAGAAGGAGAGGGAAAAGCAGGCTCCCTGCTGAGCGTGGAGTCCAATGCAGGGTTGATCCCAGGACCCCGAGATCATGGACCTGACCTGAAGGCAGACGCTTAACTGACTGAGCCACCCAGGCGTCCCCGTCCCTCCCGGTTTCTGTCTCCTCATCTCATCAGCAGGGTGGGCACAATAAGAATTCCAAAGATTCCTTTGAGTATTAAAGGAAATACAGTGTACTTGAGTGCACTTTGGGAAAACTGTTAAGTACCGTATCATGATTTTCATTGCTTTCCTTCTCAAACTTGAAACATTAGGCCTTTTTTTCACCAAAACTTCTTTCAGCTCAGAATTTAAAAAAGAAAAGTGGAATGGAGAAGAGAGGCATCAGAAATTATGTGGATAAGCAGAAGTCTTCCTGCTTTTTCCTTTTTTCTGTGGACCTTGTATTTTTGCATTCAAAGTAACCCATTGTAAAAAGCTGTATTCGAGAGAATGGGGGCGTTTCACTCCACATTAGGGTTTGACTATGTAGGGGAGCATCATAAATCTTGTTAAGTGGCAGGGTAGCGGCAGTGGGCTCGAGATGGCCCCAGATCTTTCTCCTATTAACAGGGGAGGGGGGTATTTCCCCTCCCTCACCGAAAAATCTATTTATTTACTTTTGATAAATAAAAATCACGTTCATGTTGAATGTTTAAAGTGTGATATTTCGACAGATGTACTTCCTGCTTTTCTTGATTTCAAACCTTGATGCATGAGTCTTTGCATATCTCAAGACTGGTGTTGTAAGGACCCCGCTGAAGTGTGGGGCGTGAGGCCTCTTAAGTGAACGATGAATCTAAGATGCTGCAGGGTGAGGCCTGGAAGGACCTGTCCAGGAGCACTCCCACCTTCCATCCTTGTCTTCCCCAGAGCTACGTCTCCTGCTTCACAGAACTTCTGGTCTCTCTGTAATCTCTCTAACCCTGATCCTGTCTTGTTCTCTCGTTCCTACAAAGCATTATTTTGTATCTGGTAACCCTTTAGGTTTTCAGGCCTAACTTCTACTTTTTCTTATCCCTTTCTCCTCCCACAGGTGGTTATAAATTATAAGGCTGTGGAGTTTATTATCAGCCTAAGTTCTCCTCTGGTCTCTTTTTCTTTTCTTCATAATTGCCAAACCTAACTATGTTTAACTATGAACGCTTCTTCATAAAGTTTTAAAAATTACAAGACACATTTTCAGGCAGAAAAGAAACAGGAAAAAATATTCTGAATCCCAGTACCCTAGAGTAAACCAGTGTAACAATTGGATGGGTAACCTTTTGGATAATTTTTCTAGATGCAGATGACCCACATGTTGAAAATCAAAGGATTTTGAATAAATGAAGGGAGTAGGTCTTTGGAGGTCTTTTTATCTCTTTTAAATCTTTGTCTTTGTTTCTTAATTATAGTTAGGGGCCGCCTGGGTGGCTCAGTCCATTAAGACTCTTGATTTTGGCTCAGGTTATGATCTCAGGGTCTTGAGATTGAGCTCCAGGCTCTGTGCTCAGCAGGGAGTCTGCTTGAGATTCTCTCTCCCCCTCTCCCTCTGCCCCTCCCCCCACTCGTGTATGTGTGCACACGCGTGAACTCACTTTCTCAATAAAATTTTAAAAAATTATAGTCTGTGCTTAATCTCATCCAAATTGTATCAGTTATAATTTTATTCAAGCAAATGTGCCTTTAATTACTAGAATCAGTAGATTCTTCTGTAGTTCTTATGGATGGAAGTATTTAATAGAAAAAAATTACTTTCCAGGGACTTGGTTTCAAGCATTTTATTAGAAGTTCCAATGTGAAATATAAAATACTATCTAAAGTTATTTTTTTATTTCCAACTTTATTTTTTTATTTTTTAATTTAAATTCAATTAATTAACATATAGGGTATTATTAGCTTTCCAGGCAGTACTATCTAAAGTTACTAAAAGTAGTAACACTGCTGAGTTAGATCTTTCAATTCAGCATCATTTACTGAATATCAAAGAATATGTTTTTTTCCAGCCTTGCCCCTCTCTGCAAGTGACCGAAGAGACTTGTGGAGGAAAAATAAAAGAACAGATTTTGCCTCTTAACATAAGATAAATTAACAGCTAAATTACTAGTTATCTTTATATGGTCAATGATTTGATGGCTTTATGCTGGATGTGAAATAATTGAGCTTTCCTACTTAAGTAAATTATTCCTTACTAACGTGTACATTTTAAAATAAGGAAATCACGTTATTTTGGAAAATTTAGGCCAGGGGGAAGGAAATAAAGATTACTTAGCAGTAAATTGCATCTGTAATTTTGATCTTGCTTTCCTTTCCTTGACCCCATGTTGCAGGCTTCCTCTATGTCATGAGATATTGTCAGGAAATACGATTTTTTGCAGCTAGGTAGGATGGTAGAGGAGACCAGCCCGGCCCTTTATCTTTACATGAAGAAACAGATATGTCATGCTTGTCCAGAGTGACAGACACATCATAGCCTGGGACTCCAGTCTTTCTGAATTCAAACATTTTCTCCTCTTCTGTGAAGGGTTTTTTCTCTTTTTTTCCCAACAAATGGAGTCTCCAGAGTGTGATTATCTTTGTGTGTTTGCTTAGGGTTCTCCACCCAGCAAGCAGAAATCACTGTCTCTGCATTGGTCAAGATCACGGACGCCAACATGGATATTGTCTACAAGGATATGGTCACCAAGATGCAGCAGGTTAGCTTTGTCGGGGAATGGTAGCAAACTTAAAGTCTAAAGCTGGGATGTTATCTGTTTGTTTTTTGGGGTTTTTTTTAAAGATTTTATTTATTTGACAGAGAGAGACACAGCGAGAGAGGGAACACAAGCAGGGGGAGTGGGAGAGGGAGAAGCAGGCTTCCCGCCAAGCAGGGAGCCCGATGCGGGGCTTGATCCCAGGACCCTGGGATCATGACCTGAGCTGAAGGCAGACGCTTAATGACTGAGCCACCCAGGCGCCCCATGGGATGTTATTTGTAATATGTATTTTTGGATAATATTCTATTGAAAAGCATATAGTACTTTTTTTAAAGATTTTATTTGAGAGAGAGAGAACACAAGCTGGGGGAGGGGCAGAGGGAGAAGCAGACTCGGGAGCCTGATGCAGGACTCAAAGGCAGGTGTTTAACCGACTGAGCCACCCAGGCGTCCCAAAAAGCATATAGTACTTCTAACCATAGTTGAGAGACAAATGATTCCAGTGTTATAAAAAGTAATTTATTCAAGGGGCATCTCCGTGGCTCAGTCAGTTAACCATCCGACTCAATCTCAGCTCAGGTCTTCATCTCAGGGTCATGAATTCAAGCCCCACGTTGGGCTCCTCACTGGGCATGGAGCCTACTTTAAAATATATATATATTTTTTTTTTTTTTCTTTTTTTGAAGCTATTTTGTCAACTGTTGTAGATTCATGTTGGAAAACTCAACTATGCTTGAAAATGACCTATTCCAGTCCACCATACTTAACAAAGGGAGATGTGGCTGGAATTATAGCAGTGTGTTCTTGAGCTGCTGGTCCTCAGACTGCCACCCTTTGAACTGGCTCACTTGATGATGATACTGGACTTGAGTCTTTATTCTTTTCCTTTCTTCATTCTGGAATAGAGGATGACCTTGCTGAACCTCTCTTCTCGTGTCCATATTCTCCTGGTTTCTCACTAATATGATTCCAGGTAAGAGGCAGACATCCTAGGCCAGCCTAGGTTATATGTTTTGTTTTTCTTTTCCTAGGAGATCACTGTTCAGCAAATAATGTCTCAGATTGCCAGCGTGAAAAAAGATATGATTATTTTGGAGAAGAGTGAATTTTCAGCCCTCAGAGCAGAAAATGAGGTAAAACTAAAGAGCCACTCATATTAAGATGCTCACTATCGAGACATTGAGACATAAATGCACAGAAAAAGGGCACAAGTTCGATGTGTTTTCACAAATTGTCCACCACCAGATCAAGAAGTAGAACATTACTGGCGCCCCAGAAGCTTGCTAATCCCCTGCCAGGAAGACCGCTATCCTGACCTGCGTCACCGTTGACTGGTTTTGCCTTTTCCAGGACTTCATCTGGGGGAATGCTGTGGTGCGTCTTACAATAGATCAGTCTTGCTCAGTATCTATCAGTCGGTAGTATTATATGAATGTGCCACATTTTTCTACTGTGATGTACACTTGACCCCTGAACAACATGGGTTTGAACTGAACAGGTCCACTTACACAGTTCAGTAAATGTTTTCTCTTCCTTAAAATTTTCTTAATAACATTTGCTTTTCCCTGGCTTACTTTATTCTGAGAAGATGGTATGTAACACATACAACATTCAAAATATGTGTCATGTTACCAGTAAGGCTTCTGGTCAACGGTGGGCTATTAGTAGTTGAGTTTTCGGGGAGTCAAAAGTTATGTATGGAGATTTTTAACTGGGTGGGATCAGTGCCCCTAACCCCCTGCGTTGTTCAAGGGCCAACTGCATATTAGAATTGTTTCCAGCTTTTGGTTATCACAAAGTGCTGCTGCAAAATATCCCTTGGTTTCTTGTTTTTTTATTTTTTTTTTAATTCAGTTTAGTTAACATACAGTGTATTATGAGTTTCAGGGGTAGAATTTAGTGATTCATTATGTACATATAATACCCAGTGCTCATTACATCAAGTCCCTTCCTTAATGCCCATCACCCGGTTCCCCCATCCCCCCCACCCTCTCTCCTCCAGCAACCCTCAGTTTGTTCCCTATGATTAAGAATCTCTTATGGTTTGCCTCCCTCTCTGTTGTTATCTTATTGTATTTTTCCTTCCCTTCCCCTGTGTTCATCTGTTTTGTTTCTTAAATTCCACACGAGTGAAATTATGGTATTTGTCTTTCTCTGATGAACTTACTTCACTTAGCCTAATACCCTCTAGTTCCATCCACGTCATTGCAGATATATCCCTTGGTTTCTAAAGTGTGGCATAGAAAAATTGACAAGGCAAGAAACAACAAATGTTGGACAGGTTATGGAGAAACCCTCTTACACTGTTGGTGGGAATGCAAGTTGGTACAGCCACTTGGAAAACAGTGTGGAGGTGCCTCAAAAAATTAAAAATAGAGCTACCCTATGACCCAGCAATTGTATTCCTGGGTATTTACCCCAAAGACACAGATGTAGTGAAAAGAAGGGCCGTATGCACCCCAGTGTTCATAGCAGCAGTGTCCGCAATAGCCGAACTGTGGAAAGAGCCGAGATGCCTTTCAGTAGATGAATGGATAAAGAAGATGTGGTCCATATATACAATGGAATATTACTCAGCCATCAGAAAGGATGAATACCCAACTTTTACATCAGCATGGATGGGATTGGAGGAGATTATGCTAAGTGAAATAAGTCCGGCAGAGAAAATCAATTATCATATGGTTTCACTTATTTATGGAACATAAGGAGTAGCATGGAGGACATTAGGAGAAGGAAGGGAAAAATGAAGGGGGGGAAATCGGAGGGGGAGATGAGCCATGAGAGACTGTGGACTCTAAGAAACAAACTGAGGGTTTTAGAGGGGAAGGGGGGTGCGGGTATGGGTTAGCGCGGTGATGGGTATTGAGGGCACGTACTGCATGGAGCATTGGGTGTTATATGAAAACAATGAATCATGGATCCCTACATCAAAAACTATTGATGTATTGTATGGTGACTAACATAACATAATAAAATAATTTTTTTTTTTAAAAAGTGTGGCATAGGGGTTCAGCATTGAAGTAAGTGCTGTGTTTGCATCCTTCCTTTTATTTTCAGTCTTAGCTAAAGTCTCATAAAAGAAGTCCATTTATTAGCAGTTCATCTTAGTCCTGTGAGAGGCCTTCTAGCAAAAGATCCCTTTTGCTAGAAAAGAGTAGTTTGAAACTCTCACATTTGCCCTTGAAATTGGCTGTTTGAAGGCAGAATTTGTTAAAAGAAAAATTGAAGGAGGTATTAAAGACAGAAGGGCCTCTGGAGGCAAACGTGTATGTTAAAAACAATTGTGTTACTAGGGCGCCTGGGTGGCTCAGTGAATAAGCCTTCGACTCTTGATCTTGGCTCAGGTCTTATCTCAGGGTCATGAGTTCAAACCCCGCATCGGGCTCCACGCTGGGGAGCCTACTTAAAAAAAGAATTAAACTGTATTACTGATTTTATGTAACCTTTGGGATGGATTAAAACTGATCTCAAGACAGGCGCATGCGTTGTTTTTTGTTTGTTTTTTTTTAAGATTTTTGTTTATTTATTTATTTGACAGAGAGAGAGAGAGACAGCAAGAGAGGGAACACAAGCAGGGGGAGTGGGAGAGGGAGAAGCAGGCTTCCCGCCGAGCAGGGAGCCCGATGCGGGACTTGATCCC